ATCCATATTTTATTTTAAGAGAACATAAAGGCTTTAAATAAATATTTATGATTTTAAACGATTTGATACGAATGAAAATGAACCAACAGTGATAGAGGGTTACTTACCTTCAAACAGCTAAAATAATATTTTCCAAGCTAATCTCAATTTACCAAGATCCACCTCAATCTCACAAACCTAATAAAATATTACACCGCATAAACAATTATTATGTGCATCCATCCATCTCTTCTTGTAACAACAGTAGAATAAATTAACCCAATAGTCTATTAGGATCTCCCACGATTTAGCATCAAAACAAAGCCATCACGGCTTTAGAAATTCTCAACCCATATTATTCTCTTGTTGTTTATATATATGTAAAAATTTGTAATTGCTTATAGTCAATCGTGTATCCCACAAATACACCACCATTAAACTTAACCCATCACATATCAATCTCAAAATATGAACCACCCAAATGGGATGCAAAATACACTCTAAAATTGAGCAAAATCGAGACCCCCAACATAGACTACATCAATATAATTATTTAATCATATATGCCCATAAAATCTTCTATTGATATATTAACACTAAAATCATAGATAGGAATACAATAAAATAAATCTTACCTAAGTGATGAATAAAGAAAAACCACCACTCTATGAATCCTCCTTCACTTTGGTTTTGTTTTGTTTTGTTTTTTTTTTTTTCCCAAACCCTTGCTTGCTGCCTTCACCTTTAACTTTTCCAAATGTTACCTTCACCTTCTGCAGCATACACACCGCTTCGTTTTCTTTCTTTTCTTTTCTTTTTTTCTTTTGTTTTTCTTCTTTTACATAAAGGGTAATTAACCTAATTCCTTAAAATTACTAAATTACTCATACAAATTAATTTAACTACTACTTTATCCAAAAATAATTCTACATATATCTTGGGTTTTACATGGATAGACCAATGTAGAGTTGAAATAGTACAAACCCGCCAAAACCCAAAAGCCAAGCAGTTGAAGAGGAGTAGTTTAGAAGCATAAGGGTATGGCCTCAAGTGGGCCAAAAGAAATTGAGAAAGAAATCAAAGAAATGCGCAAATAAGGCAAAACAAAAATCTAATCTTTGAAGAGAAAATTTAGAAAGAGAATGTATTGAGAGAGAGAGAGAATGAAGAGAGAAAGGAGAGAAGAGATATAAAGAGAGGTTTTTTTGATGGTGGAGAGGATGAGAGAGGGGACAGAAAAAGCAGAGAAAAAGTGAAATAGTTGGTGAGGGGGTTTGTTAATGTGGAGGAAAGAGAGAGGGAGAGAGTGACCTCAGAAAGCTAGAAAGGAAAGCTTGGTTTGCAATGGAGGAAACCAGATAAAGAAAGAGAGGAAGAGAGAGAGACAGTAAAGGGAAAGAAAAAATGAGGTGGACAGAGATTGCATTTATAGCTGGGTAAAGAAATTTAATGGAAAAGTGAAAAACCCAACAAGAGAAAAAGAGAAAAATGTGAAAAATGATGTGTGAGGGAACAATAATTAATACTATTGACTCATAAAATTTTAAAAAAGGGAAAATTAGTCTAAGGTCTCTCTCCCATTTTTAGTAATGGAAGATATTTACAATATTATTTTATGATGTCTAAGGCCCCTCAACCCCACACCCATATATCACAAAGAAATTTGACCTTCTCACATCAAACCTCATTTCTCTCTCTCTCTCTCTACTTTCTTTATTTCATCTTTCTCTCTATTTCATCTCTCTCTCTCTCTCTCTAAATCCAAACCAAAGCACAAACTTTGGGTTCCTGGAGAGCAGTCCAGTTCTGCACGGAGAAACAAGCCTGCTGACATCAGATAGAACAAGCAGCGAGTTTCCCGTACAGAAAACCATATATATATACATCATTTTATAGTACTCAATTTACCAAAATTCATTAGCAATGGAAGCAGAATATTGGATTCACTTTACTCTGAACAATAAATAGAGGTAGAGGAAACTGAATTTTTCAGCCATATTGAACCAGAGTTATTTGCATCAAATCGTTCTATACATTTCCCGTTGCCAGATAGTGGCCTTATGAATGAGCAGGTGATTCTATTTACATCTTTTCATGATATTTCTTCGTTGGACTTTTGATTACAATATTGGCATCTGGGGCCTGATCTGATATTTGGGTCAAAATCATGAATCTAAGTTTGAGCTCACAGGCCATTTAAATTATGATTTCTGTTGTAAATAAGACAAATTTATGTGCATATACACACCAAAAGACATGTCAGAGGCTTGTAACACATAATACATGTAATTAAGTTATCAATCTTTGGATGGCAGATCAAGCGTTTTCTTTTGCTGCTTACTGTCAAAGATACAGCTGTGGACATACCCTCAAATTTGGAGGCTCGGAGACGTATTTCATTCTTTGCTACATCCCTCTTTATGAATATACCTAGCGCTCCTAAAGTGCGTAACATGTTGTCATTCAGGTAGATACTCTTTTGTATTATTTTCATTTCTTTGTGATTTGTGGTGGTATGGTGTTATTTTCCTTAATATGTATTTGTCATCTTTTGCATGTACAATTTGTAGAAAGAAAGAAATCTAATAAGAATTACCTTTTTTTTAACATAGAAAATATTTCCCAACTAAGATCAAGTTATGCACCTCATTTCTCTCTCTCTCTGCCTTCTCTATTTCATCTCTCTCTCTCTCTCTCTCTCTCTCTAAATCCAAACCAGAGCATAAACTTCGGGTTCCTGGAGAGCAGTCTAGTTCTGCACAGAGAAACA